AATGAACTTAAATGATTTTAGCATATGGCTGCAATATAACAAAGAGTGAAAAATTTAAGGGGGTCTGAATACTTTCCGTACCCACTGTATGTATATTTCTTATCATCCTTTTAAATACTTCACACTGGAAAAGTGTTACTGTGACAGCAGAGTGACTAGATGAAAGGTCATTAGAGGTTCAAATTCATCCCTGAAGTCAAGATTAATTTCATGCAAATTCCAACTAAAACGGAAACTTTTAAGTAGCTTCAGTAAGACTAAATAGGTCTAGTTCCACTGCCCAGCAGCAGACTGCTGACACATTTGTGCTATAAGGGAAAGCTGTGCACTCTCACTGTACAGCAGTGCAGTACAGTGACCAAAGGCTCCAGCAGAGAAGCAGAGCTTAAGAAGCAGTGCATCATAACTTGCCTCTCTGATACACATTAAATTACTAAGGCATTCATACATAAGGTCAGTGTGAGGGGAGGAATGTTATTACTAACCTGCTGTATGTATAGTAAATGCAGACATGCAGTAACCAGGTTACTACAGAGTACAGTATGTAATCATGCTGTCAGGCTTTGTGCATCACCTGGTGCCATAAAGTAACATGGTTTTTTTGGGCACGTGTACAGTAAACATACTGAGTGAAATGCTGTTACATGTAACTTTTAAACATACTTTTCAACTTAATTTAGCTTGGGTTTAACCAAAATGTCTTGATCTTTCAACCTGCAAAGCACCATATCAGAGGTTACTGGGAGAGTCATGTCAACCTGATGGAGATTACTGTAGAACCCAGTGGAGTTAGACAGGTTTTGTATGCACCATCCAGACTGATACACTTGTGTGTTGTGTGTGTAGGAGGAGTACATGCGGGAGCAGATCGAGTGGCAGCAGCAGCCTTTCAGCGACAATCAGGCCTGTCTTGACCTCATTGCTGCTAAGCCCCATGGGATACTGCGCATACTGGACGACCAGTGTAGTTTCCCTCAGGTATAATCACACCTGTTAAACTAAAGTTTAGGTTTCTTTTGTCTGAGTAGCATCTCACTATTAGGGCTGGACTGCATATAAGCAGGATAAGCATGTCACTGACATGTTTCGCTTTAGCCAACGCCAATAACAAAGCAGCCAGTATGTTCATATGTCAAGTCACTGAAAGAGACAAACGGTGACGGCTTCCAGAACCACAGCCACCTCCCTCCTAGGGAGGCAAAATCAGCTTGGAGATGTGTAATAATCTCTATGCTTCCTTCATAAACTGACAGGCCAGGGGGATTTTGGGCTGCTCTTTTACCATCAAAACTGACATGGCGAGTGGAAATGGAAGCCCAGTACACCTTAATAGTAGAAAACAGCTTCTTTTTGTCAGTTCAGTCTCGCACAAAGGAAAGAAGTGCACTCACACTGAACACTGAAAACACATTTCCGCCGCCTTAGCACACAATTCCTTAAATACTCTCCACTTGCAGTTATAAAGAGACCTAGTGGATGATGCTCTGGCATTCTGAATCACAATAATGTCCCTCTGTGATAACCCAGTAGTTCTAAACTTCAATTATTAATGGGCCAGGTCCAACGAGTGAGCTCCATAGTGGGAGGCAGCTGTATCCATTTAGCTGGTGGGTTAAGGAAAGTAAAGAATAATCTGGAGTGATAATCCATTGTGGCCAACTCTGATGGAGGGAAGATGAGATGCTGGTGACAAACGTTTTGGACTAGCCAAACTGATGTGTTAGCTCACTTGTAGAATCAAAAAAAAAAAACGCCACTGTTTGGGGATGAATAAAAGTGGAGGGAAAATACTAACTGAAGGCAGTCGGACCACTGTCCTTAGCTACTACCACCAAGTGGCAGATGTGAGACCCAGTGTGACAGCAGTTAAGCTAGTTAGCCTTGATACAGACGGAGCCCTTAAGACAAAAGAGTTACAACATTGAGGGGTCAAAAATGGCAGCAGGTCACGTGACTCATGTAACTTCAAATAGTTCCAAACAGCCAATTCAAATCCATTGATTTCTGTAGGGAACAGTGGGATTTATTGGTAAATTACTACTTTTAATGACTTGAACAGCCTTGCTAACTAATTCTGTACATACAGATAGAGAAATGCTTGGCGTCTGAAGCGAGAAGAGCTGACTGAATCTCAGATGACGCCATGTTGGCCCTGTATAACATCACCATTCAGGGCTGGCATAATGGCTTCTGTGTATACATCATGTCCTCTAGTCATCATTGAAACACATGCTATGAAAGAGAACACCTCGATTATGTGGAGAGCCCTTCAAAACATAAACAAAAGGCACATAGAACTGAAAATAAGACAACACTGATAGAAGCAGTACTTAATTAAGAGCAAAAGGTATCAAAACCATTGCTCATAAACCAGGAGGCTGAGGTGTAGTGTAGCCAGCTCCAATCAATAGGCCTACACATGCTCATTTAACTGCCTACCTGCTGCTGTTGTTACCCCTGGGGCTCCTAATGTCAGAAGCTGACTGAGCTCACATTGAGATAAACATGTTATGGAGTGTCTCCGATGGTCAAAGTGAAATATGAACAGGGTGTCACTGTGCACTAGTAACAGACTGAGGCAATCTGCCGAACACACGCAGGCAACATGTTTGTACTGTAGAGATTCAATTTCCATGGATCACCAACCACTAACCGTCTCCAATCATCGCTAGGCAACAGACCACACCTTCCTTCAGAAGTGCCACTATCACCATGGAAACAACCCACTGTATGCCAGACCGAAGATGCCACTGCCAGAGTTCACCTTGAAACACTATGCTGGGAAGGTCACTTACCAGGTACATTTCTTTCTTTCCATTTCTTTCTTTCTATTTTCTTTCTCTGTGTCTGTCTGCCTTTCTTTCCATGGAGAAAATACACAACTCGATTCTTTGTTTTCTGTTCTTTCCTTTTTTGTTTTCTTTCTTTTCATGCAGAAAGTACATTATGTGCAGTTGTAATAAAAACAAGGCCTGAGGACCAAGTGGGGAAAACATTTTCACTGCTGTCTTAACATCGACAAACTTCAGCTTTTCATCACGAGTATTTCCCGTACTATGTCCATTCACTGTCTGAGAGGTTCATTTTACCCACTTTTTAGACATTACCTTCTTGCTGGCATCCAATAAAACTTTCTCTTCTGTTCTTTCTGCCTTAATGTGTCCACACAAACTCCAACACTGCAACTGAATATGAAGCTGCAGATATGTTGTGTGACAGATATAGATGTATCTAGTTATTTAGTTCTGATTGATTCAAATAGGATAGAGTGGGTTTTAATTTCTTTACATAACATTTTAACTGTTAGTTGTATTGTGTTTTTGTTTTTTATGGATTTTTAGTCCTTAATAAAGCATGAATTCATTCATTCATTCATTCCATCCAGCAGATCTTTAATCAGTTCACTAAAATTCTTACATTTTCTTCCTTGAACTAGTGTGCTCAGGGCTGTTATACTTTGTTTATTGTGTACTCTTGTTTGTCCACTGTTTGAATCTGATAGCACAAGTTTCTGCTTTGAATTTAGCTTTTGATTATTTGCCTTGCAGGTGCACAAATTCTTGGACAAGAACTTTGACATGGTCCGCCAGGATGTTTTAGACCTCTTCATCCAGAGCAAGAACAGAGTAAGATGTACAAATACACTGTTCTCATGACTTACTCTTGCCTGTGGCGCTAACATTCTCTAGTCATCTCTGTTTTAGTCAAAGCGAGCATGATCGGTCATTTTCAATTACATTTAAGTCTTAGGATTGTTACTCATCATCATGCATTGTAGCCCACAACTTGGACCTGTGCTTCTAACTTTATATTTTACAGCATTTTAAAAGACAAGGCCAGTTGTTTTCTATATTAACAGTATTTTCAACACTCCCCCATACAGAGACTAAAACAGACAATGATTTTCCTCTACTCATGGTTCATGTCTGTCAGTCCGGGATCAGCTTCTTGTTCTGTGCCCCAGACCTCCATTTTTGTTCAAAAACAATTAAAACCTCATCAGTGAAACACACCACTGCACTGGGTGACATGTTTCATCATTAGAAAACCCCAGACCCAAGCATGGCGCACTAGGGAAAGGTAAACAAAGCAGAGAGCACACGCAAGATCTCATGCATGCCCAGTTAACTCTGACTCGTACTAACTTCAGGAAATTATGGCTGCTCGGAACCTTTGGGGCAACATAGTCGGTTCTGGGCTTTTGTAATAAAAAAAACGTGTCACCCAGTTTAGTGTTTTTAATCCTTTTTGAACAACAGTGGAGATCTCTCACATAGACTAACAAGCTAGTCCAGGACTCACAGCTGACAGATGCTTATGGTGAGTAGAGGCAATTCATTGTTGGTTTTAGTCTCTGTATGGAGACTGGTGAAAATACTGTTAATACAGAAAATGACCGGCCTTATCCTTTAAGTTGACCTAATGCTTTAATGCCAAAAAAAACTACATACTCTGCTCATTAAAAATGCTAATTTAATCATTAAAAAACACAACTATTAATTTAGAACCTAGCAATACCTAGTGCATCGATGTATATGTTATTCAAGGTTGATTCATCTCTTTGTTCTCTGTTTGTGTATGTGCACAGATGGTATCAAACCTCTTCTTGAAGCACTCAGAGTCTGTGTCTCAGCAGCAGTCTAATATGCGGCGCAGCAGCACAGCTCGTCGGTATCAGGCCAACACGGTCAGCGCAAAGTTCCAGAGCAGTCTGCAGGCGCTGCTGGAGAAGATGGAAAGGTCTGAGGAGAACAACACGTATTTAGTCTTTAGGACAATGTAGAAACAAAGCAACATTTGTGTTAAACAGCTCTGTATTAGAACAGTCTCCTTCCAGCTTATTTAAGTGTCTAAATTATAAGTGTAAAATTATGCATGCATATGTTTTGTTCCTGAAATGACAGATAAGTAAATTATACTGTACTGAGCTGACATGTGTCACCACTGACACATATGCGCTCATGGTGACACAAAACACTGATGAGTCATACTGAGTGCCTGAGATGTGCCCACATACACAGACAGTGTGTATGATATGGTGATGACTGAGGAATGAGTGAAACAGGAAGTGATTTCTTTCCCAATCCAAACCAGTGACACAAGTTATATTATGGCCTCATCACTTCTGGCAGTCTTATAAACCTCCGGTGTCAGTTTTTGTAGGAGCCACTTAATTTGTGAAGATGGATTTGATTTGCTTATTCTGGGCTCAGTTGTGCCTCTAACAGATGAAAACAGACATCTCTGACCATCTTTCAGTCTGAAGAAGTTAATATATATTGTCTCTTCAACTATAAAACCCTGCCATGCTCTGCCAGTTTCTGCTTAAAGAGTCCACTTGGATGTGACTTCCTCTCACTGGGCAAATGTACAAAGCCTTTATCAAATCATATCTTCATTCATTTATCCATCGCTTTGTTCTCATCCATCTGTGACAGGTGTAACCTTTATTTTGTGCGATGCATCAAGCCAAACCATCATAAGGTAGATTTACAAGTTGGTTGATGTGTGCAGGTTTGCAGTGGTTAGTTGCAGAGAATTTATGTATAGTACACTGCTCATTTGTGTTCACATGTATTTGTGTGTGTAGGAGCCAGGCTTGTTTGACATGGAGCTGGTCAACCTTCAGCTGCATTACTCTGGCATCATGGAGACCATCTATATCAGGAAGGACGGTTATCCAATCAGATTGCACTTTCACAGCTTCCTATCAAGGTTGGTTGCTTATGAAGCTTCACATTAAGCATATATAAAGATAAATTTGAGCTCTAATTGAAGTGTGTATTCTGTAATATAGTACAGACTTGTACTTACAGAACTGTTTCTGCTCCTCTTTCGTCTCACCACTTTCAGCTTGTGAATTATTGACTTTATTTGGTGAGAATACATTTCTTCATGCTGAAATCTGGCACTTAGCTGCTCCTTCAGTAGGAGAGCAGTTGAAACTAATTGATCTCTCAGCACCTTTGACCTGCCAAATTGGTCTGATTTACAATATTTGAGAAAAAATATCACATTCCAACATTCACAGTCAGTTAGACTCACACTGAAACTAATGAATCTAAACAAATGCTAAATTACCAAAACTCAGAATACACAAGATTTGCGTTCTCACAGAGTTGACACATTACAGCTTTGGATTTTGTTTGCATTTATGTCAGAATTTAAATTGAACTGTGTTTAAATGTGCATGTGGGCTTGTATGTGCACACAGGTACAAAAGCCTGCTCTGCCTGAAGGATCTTCCACCTGCAGATGGAGAAAACTGTATCAACATGCTCCACAAGCTCGGTCCAGTCAACCCCGGATCATATCAGCTGGGAGTCAGTAAGGTGAGCTCTCTCAGTATCAGATGCTTTTAGAGACCTGCATAAAATTCAAGGTAAAACATTACACGTGTGAGAAATAAATGCTGTTTAATTTAGATGAATGTGTCTTGCATGTGTGTTAGATTTTCCTGAAAGAGGAATTGTATCAGCTGCTTGAGGGTAAGCGTGACCGTCTGCTGAACATGGCTGCCATGATGCTGCAGAGATGCACCCGCATGGTTTTTTTCCTAAAGAAGTTTAGGAAGATCAGGCAGCGTGTGATCCTGTTTGAAGCTCGCTGCAGAGGCTACCTGGCCAGGTAATGTTCACCTGAGAAATCAGCTGCTAGTGTACACATGTGTCCCTTAAATTTAATGGCTCATAACTTCTGTAAACCCAAACAACTCAAAAAGCTAAGCCTCTTTACAAGATACGGACTCCACAGGGTGACAGAGATTGTTCAGTTTTTCCCAAGAGATACAGATCTTTTACTCAGCATGTCTAATGTGGATCTGAGCAAGTTCTGAGAAAGTTTTATATACTTCAGACCAACTCCTTCAGCTTGTTTCTGTTTCTTTCTCTCTACTATCCATTGTTTATGATTAACATATTCCCTGAACAGAAAAAAGTTTATTCTGAGGAGGAAGCACCTCATCAGGTTACGCTCCATTGTGCTACTCATCATCAACCGTCAGCGTTACATGAGGGTATGCGCACAGTGTTTGGGACTGTGTGAATGGGGAAACTTCTGGGAACATTTACAGTATTTATATAAAATGAATAAATGTGTGATACTGTTGTCTTTCTGTCAGATAGTGGTGGAGGCTGCAAGGAAGGCAGAGGAGGTGAGTGAGGGAGGAAACAAGGTGAAAGTAGGATGGGAATACATTTTAAGAAAAAGATGAAGATCTAGCATTAATACGTGATATAAATGTTGGTGTGTTTGTATTCGCAATGTGTGTAGGATCGCATCAACAGAGAAGTGGTGGATGTGACAACACTTCCTATCCCGGCTGAGCTGGCAGCCCTGCTGCAGGAAGCTTCAGGTGTGTGCCCACATACACACATATACAGTATATGAACTGTATATAACACACTGATATGCAGTCAGTTAGAGCTATAAATAAACTTCTGTCAACAGATGAGTTCTGTCTTGTTTGTTTTCTACCTTGTGTGTGTGTACAGGTGGTGAAGAGCTGCTTTCTGACTGCCTGGCTGTGGTCCAGGCTCCAACGGTTCAAGTTGACCCCCAGTTGACTCTGCCCCTAGATATCAACAACTACCTCATGACACACTACATCCGGGCCATATTCAGGGTACGCACACACATACGCCCACACACAGTATCTACATGTGAAAGCTTGTGAAACATAAATGAACTTTGGTGAAATGTGTGTATGTGTGTGTGTTGTAGGAGCCGTTGTTTGGGATGGTGACCACTCCGCTGGAGAGCTCTCTGATTCGTCTGGATGAGGAGCTAAATCAGGGAGCGCTGAGTGTTTTCATTCTGGTACATGCTGCTGGGAAACACCAGCCTCCACACTTTAAGAGGAAGGCTACTAAATAGTGTTATGTGAGGAAATCAAAACCAGTCAAATAAATAGTTCCTGTGGCTAATCAGCTTAATATACTTAATGAGAAATGTCAGACATGTGGGTTGATTTTACCAACAAAGTTGATTGGTTAAAATATTTTCAGTACTCAAGAAGTAAAATTTTCTGATCAGTCACTCAAATTTGCGCAGCCTTTGTATATGCATGCACAATGGTTTTGTACAAATACATATAGAATCAATTATTCAAACTGTCTTGTTGTAATGCAAACAACTGTCTCACTAATACTAAAGCCCATTAAGAGAACTTGACCATCTTTGAAGGTATAATTTGTTGAGTAAAGCATGTGTGGTTTTGACAGATTTTAAGGTTCATGGGTGATCCTAACCTGAATGGGGCTCAGGAGAATCTATTTGGAAACTACATCATTCAGAGAGGACTCGCCAATTCCAGCCTCCGGGATGAGATCCTGGCTCAGGTAGTCAACCAGGTGAGGCTCACCTCCTTCTTATAACTGAAGAGGTTACATAAAATAACACCGCATCTTTCAGTTTTATTGTACATAATCTCAACCAGGTTTTTCTCTTTACCTCCATTTTGTTTGGTCCTCCAGGTGTGGAGGAATCCTAACATTTTGAACTCAGAGCGTGGCTGGCTCCTCCTCTCGTCTTGTCTCTCTGCCTTCCTGCCTTCTCAAAGGTTGGCCAAGTATCTGCTAAAGTAAGAAGTACACAGTTGAGCAGTTCAATATTTTGGCATCATACTAATACTGTTAATAAAACAATACATTTTTCAGTATTGGATGTGATATTCACAACTTTTGCTGCATGTCTGGCTCTTCATACTCATTGTTGTTATAGGTTTGTGTCTGACTATGGGCCAGAGGGCTACGACTCTGTGTGTCAGCATCGTCTGCTTCAGGCTCTGCAGCGGCTGAATGTCGGCCCAGAGTACGTGCGCACGTACCCGCCCTGTCTGCTGGAGTGGACCGCCAATCGCAAGAGAGCTCACACTGTACTGCACATATACTGCTTTGATGGTGAGAACACACAAGCACATAGAGGTCACAGAGGTGATTTTCACAGATTTTAAATCCCTGGACCACCATCTGCATTTGTAGACACTATTATAAACATCTTGTGATGTCATTTGGGTCAAGTGCTGCTTGTAACAGCATTAATATAAGAGACTAACAAGAACCTGTGTGGTTAAATAAAGGCTAAATGGAACAAGGCTGTAAATGCACAAATGGAAACCTTAATACTTGCATGTAACTTCTCCTCCCCCCTGCATCTGTTCTTGTACTGTATATATATCATAACATATTTACTGCATTTTCCATGAATAAATCTGTGTTATTGACTGGTCTAAATCACAGGCTGCAACACTGTGAGTAGCTTTAATATGTAGGTACCATTTCATTTTAAACACAGACCAGTGCTATGTATGTCCATGTAAAAGCATTCAGTTTTGTAAATTTGAAACTCATTTATTTTGGATCTGTGAGTTTGACTGCCTCTTGTCAACCCATCCTTTCCACAGTTAGTGTGTGCACTCTTCAGTACACAACAGTTACCATGCCTGTCTCTTCCTCATTTCCTCCTCTCATCCAGCTAATCTGACATCTGGCCTTTTGGCAAGTCCACTGAGGATTAGACACCTGATACTTGCTCTGATTCACTGGCTGCATTTGTGTGTTTGTTGCTGCTAGTGTCTGTGTAAATCTTCATAGACAGATCATGGATGGTGCTGCCAACTGTCTTGCAGTGATACAGCTGAGGAATTACTTCATAACCTGACTGAAATGGCTCTTAATGCATTACAAAATGGAAAAGCACACCACATCATTTCACAGTCTTGGATTTTGTTAAGTAACTGCTGTACTGTACATCAGAAGTTATTTTCAGATCTACTATATGCCCTTTCTCCTTCAGGTGTATCCTTCCTGTGTCCTCTACACTCCTGGACGACAGGAGAAGAGATGGCCAAAGACCTCTTACAACACAGGTATCAACTTACTGTAAAACATGAACACTAAATACATGGGTGACAAAGAAATATTAAACAAAAGAAAACTAGGCAAGATGTCATGTTTGCATGCACTACTGTGTTTGTGCGTTCTGTGTATAGGGGTGCAGCAGAGGGCCGCCAAGGCTGGTCAGTGCTGCTGAAGGAGGCGGCTCAGTGGGTGGAACTGGAGGGATCTGACTACATTCTGGACTTGATGTCAGACCTGGAGCTTCCCGCTGAGTTCCCCAAACGCAACAGCTACTTCATCATCTCTGCACAGGAACCAACCAGAGTGCGGCCCAATGCCAGCATGTGAGACACACACACACACACACACACACACACACACACACACACACATACCTCTGGGATTTCATATACCCATCCA